AATTAAGTTTTCGGTACATTTCATCCCAATATTATTATGTGATCATCACCGAAAATTATAGACGTTATCCTTGACCACACCTGGACCCTCGTGGAAAATTTCAAAGCGTTCCGCGCTATATTTCCGCCTCTAGTGTGGTAATGGGTTACTTAATAGTATCTGAATACGTAAGCACCTGTAAATATTTGACTGTAACTCCCACATCTGAGTAGATACATCACTATATTTGGTATCAAGTTAAAGACCAACCACTCCACTTGGATATGCAATCAACTCCTCGGGTCTACATCCTCCAGGAGTAAATATATATGCCATAGAATACAAATTTTGTCATTTTTCACACAAAAGTCAGGGTCCATTTGACCCGCTAAATATTGACCGATCTACATCAAAACATGCATGCTTATTCTCTGGCCCGAGCCCCTTCTCCATGCGGTGTTTGGGCCATAATTCGCGGTGTTTGGGCCATAATTGCGGCCTCTGGAGCGACCAGAAAAACCGACAAAAATAATGTTTTTGGTCCATTTCATCCCTTAAATATTAATCGATCTTTTCCAAAAACAATAGGGGTCTTCATTGGCCAGAACCCATCCTACATGCAAAATTTCGTAAAGATTGGTCCATAACTGTGGCCTGTATCGTGTTTACAAATTATAATGGACAGACGGACGGACGGACACACATGTCTAGATCGACTCAGCTAGTACAGATATGACGATCGGTATACTTAAAGGTGGGTCTAGGACTAATATTTCGCGGCGTTACAAACATTTGGGGCTGCACAAAGCTATAATACCCTGACAACATAGTTGTGTAGGGTATAAATATGAAAATTAAAAATATATATATTTACGATTTTGAGCCTGTTAGAGGAACAATGACCCAAGTATGGTCGAAGTATGATAATATGGGTCAAGTTCAGTCCACAGAATCACTGTGCGCTGTACACAATTTCGTTTGAATCGGACAAACATAGGGTATTTGGCAAATTATTTATATGACTCGGGCGAAAATATTATATAAATGGAAATCATATCTACGTCTGAACCTATTCTCACCAATTTCAATAGGTACTTGGTCCAAATATATGAGAAGTGCCAAATCCAATCTCATTCGGATAATAAATGTTATGTGCGTTTTTATTTTTCCAAAAATCAGTAATCCAATCATAAATCCAATCTGATTCTATGTATATCCTCAAAAGTAACATATATCATTTCCAGTATAACGGTGTCGTATAGGTATAGATTGGAGTTTTACAATTAAGACATATAGGATTTTTTGAACATTTGAAGAATGACCATGGCTCCGGCCGGTTGAAATTAACTACATTTTAACATTTTCATACCAGTTGTTCAAACCGATTCAAAAACTTCTCCACGACGAAAATCGTTAACCACGCATTTTTATGTTATATGTGGGCAGATGACCCATCAATTACAATTTTTAGCAGATCAAACGGGCAATGATTTAAGCCGATGTGTGAGTGATGGCATTGTCCAAGTGCACCTCGATTCGTCATCTCTTGTTCTTTGCACAGATGACACATGACCAATTTTGTCTTAAAACATGCAATTATCTGCTTAAACCACGAACATCGTCTTCGATACATGATTGGCCACCTTTGACGAAATCATATAGTTTTTGATACACCTCGTATTTTTTTAATATTTATTTTAACCATTCGTAACGAGTTATTTTTATACGATTGTTAACGATTGACGATTCACTCTTTTTTGAAATAGATTTTCAGGCCACTGAAATCAACACAACACATGGTAATACGCTAAACCGTATTGAGTACGAGTATGCTAAACCTAGCCATATGATCTTCAATTATCAATTCATGTACAGCATCATCATTCTGTGGAACAATACAATTTTTTCGATGAAATTCGTATTTTAGCGAGCGTTAGGCACGATTGAATTCACTAAACTAATCACATGAATATTTAGGTTAATCGATGCACTCTTGTCGTGATAATTCACATAAAAAGTTGTAAAAATAATTTCACTGTTCACAAGTTAAGTCGACATTTTTGCCAAATTAATTTTCCCTGTAAAGAAGACAACACATGGTCGTACGTCAAATGGTACGATTATGTTAAACAAATTCCAAACATTCTTATGGAAATGTCAGACTACGTCAGGTAATACTGTGCTTAATGGAATTTGATTCTTCACGTCACTGACAGATGGTAATATGCGAAACCGTATTTAGTACGAAATTAAAAAAAAATCTAATGTTATGTGGCAAAATGAATAATTACGAGTTAATACCACTTTCTCTTTAATCAATGTAAACAACACAACACATGGCCGTACTAACTACGTTTATGTTAAAAATTTCTGTATTTTTTACACATTTTCCCAACAAAGTGTTGAAAGATAAACAAATCACAGAAATCATGAAAACGAATTGAAAAACCAGTAAGGAAAGTAGTAAAGTCGTACGGAGCCGATTATATAATACCCTTCACCACTTTGGTTATATTTAATAAATGAACCCTAACAGACGTCGCTTTTTTTAAAGGACCAGTAAAATGAAATTGGATCCCTAAATATGTCATTCGCAATTTATTACGCTGTGCCAAATTTCGTGCAAACCGAAATATATTAAGGGAGTTTGGTACAACATTTGCCTTAAATCGGACGAAAATATATGTGGGACCTATATCTAAATTTGAACCGATTTTCAGGAAACTTAACACACATAATTGTAGACCTAATTCATTACGCTGTACCAAATTTCGTGCAAATCGAAAGATATGTAGGATCTTTGGTGCACCATTTACATCGGACGAAAATATATATGGGACCTATATCTTAATCTGAACCGATTTTCAGGAAACTTAACACAAACTTAACAACAATTGTAGACCAAATTCATTACGCTGTGTCTAATTTCGTGCAAATGGAAAGATATATAGGAACTTTGGTGCACCATTTACATTAAATCAGACGAAAATATATATGGAGCTATATTTAAATATGAACCGATTTTCCTGAAACTTATCACACATCATTCTAATCTCAATTCATGCCAAATTTCATGCAAATCGAAGGATATATAGGGTCTTGGGGCACTATTTACATGAAATCGGACGAAAATATATATGGGAGCTATATCTAAATCTGAACCGATTTTCGGGAAACTTAGCACGCATCATTCTAGACCTAATTCATTACGCTGTGCCAAATTTCGTGCAAATCGAAAGATATATAAGGACTTTGGTTACCATTTACATTAAATCGGACGAAAAAATATATGGGAGCTATATCTAAATCTGAACCGAGATTAGTCCTTGGGCCAAATAAGTGACCTATGCTAAATTTCATCCAAATCGGATCATAAAAGCGACCTGTATTTTGTTCACAAAAATACATAGACGGACAAACATATGCTCAAAGACATAATACCCTGTACCACAGTGTGGTGAAGGGTATAATGAATATCAGAATCATGGATCTGTACGTATAAAACTGACAGTTATTCGTAGAAAATATACATCGAAGCAAATGGTCACAAGGCATGTGGTGACTGCTTAACTGGAGCAGCGTATGACGATCAATTTTGAGTTGTACACCACAATTTGTTTACCAAAGATCCTCGAAAAACGAACAAGAAAAGGAGAATAATTGACCACGATAACAATGTTCGTTATGAATTTATGGATCATCCGCGTCATCAGCAATGACGTCGGTTTATTCCTATACACGAAGAACACATTTTTGACCACCGACTTGCATTGTTGAAGGATTCAAAAAAGTACTTTGGCAATTGGTTTGAGTGCATGAAAATTGTATAAACAATTCAGGCGGAAATTTTGTTTCAATATTAGGTCTGAAAAATATATAGTAGCCCACCTCATTTAATAAATTAATAGTCATTTGTGTTTTTTTTTTTCAAAAATTATTTTTCATTATATTTTTTTGTATTTGTTTTTTGTTGTTGTTATTACTTTTTTTCTTTTCTATAATTTAATCATTTTTTTCTTTAATTTTCTTTCTTTTTTTCTCCTTATATACTAAATACACTTAATTCGAATATTCTATTAGCATTCTTAACTAGGAAAAAAACTATTTTTTTCAGCATTAAAGGAATAATATTATAATTATCATAGGGTTATTCTATAAGTATATATATATAGTAAATTCTATAGTATATATAAAGACATCTAGCTAAAGAAACTAAGTGAATGTGTTTATAAACAAAATACTTAAACAATAAAACTATATATAACCAGCCTGGGTTATGAGGGTGTTGTTGTTGTGGTTTGGAAAGCCCAAAAGAAGGTATATATAGTTATTGTTGATAATAATAATAATATACATATACATAAATAATATTTTAAATATTTAGAAGTAGTGTTTTTTTTAGTTTTTATACATACAAATATAATACAGTGGAGTTGTGTGATTACGACTTTGTTGTTGTAAATACTAGTGATATATTTTTGTGTATTTATTTACATTGGGTTTTTTACAAAGGTTGTGATTTTTTTTTTAAATTTTCTTGTTTTTTTTTCAAAATCAAATTGAGTGAATTTATGTCTTATTTCTTTGTAATATTTTTTTTCAGAATAGAGAAAATAATTTACAATTTCTTGAGGTTCTCTAAGGATACTTGCTGCCTTATATCGAATTCCTGTCTATGCCATTTTGTTTCCTTAGAGTCCTTTTTTAATTTTTTACAATTTTTCCTTGAATATTTTTTTTTTGGATTTTTTTTAATTTTTTGTTATTGTTTCTTTTTTCTTTAATTATTAATTATTTACAAATTAAAATGCGCTAACATCACAGCAATTATGGGGGGTTATTTTTATAATTAATATTTATATTTAAATAATAACTAAGCGCATAATAAATTATTCAGAAATATTACTATTCAGAAAAATTGAGAGGCCGGCCTTTTTGGAACAGAGAGATTATGGCCATACCATATCAGAGGGAACTTTGGTGCTTTGTTGTTATTGTTAATTTGGTTATCTCTTCATACCGAGACTTTAACCCAAATGCATTAGACTGGGATGAAAGTAACCGGCCATGGCCCATTGGGCACCCGGACCACCACGACCCAAAGCAGCCATTTTAATTTTCTCAATTTCAGCCTCTTGCAAACGTTTCGCCTTGGCACGACGATTTTGAAACCAAATTTTCACTTGTGTTTCCGTTAGCCTTAGGGAGGAGGAAAATTCAGCACGTTCAGCAATACTTAGATATTGTTTTTCACGGAATTTCTTTTCCAGCGACAACAGTTGTTGTGTGGTGAATGGTGTGCGGGGTTTACGATTGGGTTTGTGTTTACGTAAATTGCATTTAATACGTGGCGGTTCATTTGCATCTGGAAGGAAATAGAAGAAAAAGAAACGAATTTTTATTAATAACGGGTTCAAAGGGGGTAATTAGGAGAATATTATTAATAATTAATTTAATATATTAATTTATATAATAATAATAAAGTATCTAGAAATGTTTTTATATATAAAAATATTTTTTTAAATAAAAAATCATTTAAAGAAAAAAATATATTTTTATTAAAAAATTAAATTATTTTTTATTAAAAAATAATATATTAATTTATATAAAAATAATAAAGTATCTAGAAATGTGTTTTTATATATAAAAATATATATATCTTTTAATAAAAAATCATTTATAATTAAAATATAATATTTATATATTAAAAAAATTAAATTATTTATATTACTTTTTTTACTTTTTACTTTTTTATTAAAAAATTTGTTATTTTTTTTATATAAAATAAAAAAATATAAAAAATAATTAAAAAAAATAAAATTTTTTTTATAAAAAAATTATAAAAAAAAATATATTTTTTAAACTTAATATATATATTAGAAAATACATAAAAATATGAAATAAAAAATTTAGTATTATTTTTTGACCCTTGATTTTTTTTTTTTTTTTTTTTTTTGCCTTGTCCAAAATTTTTTCCTCTCTTTATTAATTTTTTTTAAAAAAGTTTAATTTCTTTGTTAGAATTTTTAATTTCAAATTATTCCTATTTTTTTAGGTTAGCTCCTCACACTTTTCTCCTTCATTTCCCCATAAAGAATCCCCTTAAATTCCCTCAGTTAATATATTTAACAATTTTCCATATTGCTAATTGTTTTGACAAAATACAACAACAACAAATTATAATAATTTGCAACAACAACAAATTGTAGACGCCCCTATACATCCATATCTTTTTTATGTCATTTTGTCGTCTACTACATGTAAATTACTTTGAACATTGACAATGTGGCACCTCTATGCAAATATTAACATGATGGCTAATATTTAACAAATTATCTTTAAAAATATATATGTGTGTATATATATAAAATATGCACACATACACACCTTCAACAAATGACTAACAATCTAGACAGTGGAAACGACACAGCGACCCAAACAATTTATGGCCTTCATGGCGAAAATAAAACTTGGCAAATCTAATAGGCTAGGCTACAAATCATTTTCAGACAACAACAACAACAAAAATATGCAAGCGAAAAATTTTTCGAGGGAAGAGAAGAGAGAGGGAGGGGAGCTAGGGGGATCCTAAACTGTTTGTCAATTGTCATTTGTAAAGTCCTTGGTGGCAATCCTTCTTTGCGAAAATTCATAGAGGCTCGACGTAAAGGCGAGATGGCGTGTCACGTGCAAATATTGACTTTGGCAATTGCTGCAGTGCAGCAGTTACTGATAAAAAGGCAACATTTGTTGTTGTTGTCGTTGTTGCTGCAAGTAGCCAACGTACATCATCACCACTCAACACTGTGGTTGCAATGCCGTCGTCTGCTTCTGCTTCTTTTTCTGTTGCATGCCATGTTGACTGCAAATGGTGTTAAAAGTTATGCATGTTAAAGCCTCTAAGTATTTGTTTTTGGCTAACAACAAGAACAACAACAACAAAACAACGTTAAGCCATTCTTAGTGTTGTTGCAATGTTGCGTGTCTTTTGTGGTAAACGGAAAAAAAGGTGGGTTGTCGCCTTCATCGTTGTCGTTGGCAAGCCATGGAACCCAAACAAGACACACCTACATTTTTTGGCCTCTAGCCATGGCAAGTAGCTGCAATTGTTGTCTGCAGCACTCAAACTCTTTGGAGGAAAACACACAATTAATTTCTATAATTGCCCAAGTTGCAACAACAACAGCAAAAACTACAAGGGAAATTGTTATAAAAATAACAACTTTTCTTTTCAAGAGCAATCATGAAAAAAGATTAACAAGCTAAAACAAAAGAAGGAAACTAATTAAAAGTCAAGATGATAAGCGAAACAATAAAATAGTGGAAAATCGTTTTATAAAAAAATATTTAATTCGGAAAATTATATTTTTATAAAAAAAAATATTTAAAAAAATCTGGAAGCTTCAATTTATGATTTTTTTGTGTCAATCGGACCAGCTTGGAGTCTTTGGTCCATATCTAAGTCTGAAACGAGTTCAATAGGTTTATACAATTTCTCCTTCTAAACTTCTTTGCCATTAAATTTATTCCTAATTTTAACCAAATATCAATATTCCCTATTTCTATATTTCACCTACCCTTACTAACTTCTGTTAGAGATCACCTTTTTTGTCACATTACCTCACTAAAAAAATTACACCTTTCTCTTTTCAATATTTCTGAAAGAAAACACATTTCTCTCTATCGCCCAAAAGAAAAAAAGACACCTTCCCATTTATTTTCCGGCTAATTAAACGAATTACCATGACATTTCCCTAAACAAAAACGAGCAGCAGCAACAACAACAAGACACAAAACAAAAAAAAAATATTGTTATAATCAGGTGTAATATGTCACTTTAAAGTGTACACTTTTCATTGTTGTTGGTCTTTTCTTTCGGTAGCCCAAAAAAACAACGAAAAACACAAGACAACAAAAAGAAGCCGACTTGTGCCACTTGTCAAATAATTTCTGCTCGAACGACACAAAAGAACACGATGAAGAAGAAGTTATCATAATGAAAAAATCTGTCGGTTATTTGTTAAGAAGAAGAAGAAGAAGCCTGGTGCTGCGAGGACCCTCTCATCAAGTAGTTAAGAGAAATGAAGAGAAACACCAGGGTTTAGGTTTCATATCCAATAATTTCATCAACTTGAAGACTACGAAGTCGAAGAAGTTGTACTCTGAAGATGAACTGTTGACAGTCAGCCATCCAGCCTGAAAAATTGTTGATAACCTGCTGTGTGTGACAAAACACTCATCGAAAAAGATCGTAATCCAACGATTTCCATGATAACAATAATACAACCAAAAACAACAGTAATAAAGAGAAAAGAAGAAGCAAGCGAGCGAGCGAGCTGATGAAAGTAATGTGACAGGTAAAAATGCTTTGAAGTTATCCTCCAAATAAAAACAAAATGCATACAAAATGTAGTCTTGATAAATACCCTATCAGAATCAATTGAATAGGTGGTCACCTGTTCCATCCCACAGTTTTTCCTTTTTTTGCTATGGGAAACAAGCGAAGAGAGAGTGTGGTATAAGAGAGAGAGTGATCGCTGTTGAGGAAAGTTTCAATGATAAGTCACAATGAATGAATTTATTTATCTATGTAATAATTTAATTAGTGCAAATGAAGGGGAGGGGAAGAAGGAAATTGAAAGAAAAAAGAGAAATGAAACAAACTAGAAATTTTAATAATAATACTGAATTAAAAAAAAAAGAATTTCAAAATAGTTGTAATCTTTATGTGTAGCAATTGAATTAATTTGTTGATAAGGGGGTAAAGGTGTGAGAAGAGGGGATGGATAATGACTATATAATTTCAAAGAAGGAAAAAAGGATATTTTAAGCATTTTCAGAAATGGGGAAAAGTGGTGATATGAAAGTACAAAATTGTTCCCAAAAACAAATATTTAAATTTACTCAAGCTAAAGGGAGAAGAGGGGAGGTAAGTGGTTAAGAAAGCGAACTCTTGTTCCGATGTTAATTGCTATTTTTTAGAAAATATTAAAAAGATGATGAAAATTGAAATTGTTTCAAAATGTTGGGAATATATTTGTAATTTTTGATAGGAGATCAAGAGGAGGACAAATTCTACCACAAATCAATTAGAAAATTTATTAAAATAAAAATAATATTGAAATTGGGAACTGGAGACCAAAACATGAGACATCAAATGTAATTGTGAGATTGTACAAGAGGGTCCAATAATATTTCCATGGAAAACTAGGAAAGCAAGTAACTGGAAATTAAAATCGATTCACAATTTTTTTGAGTTTTTTATAACCAAGAATGGGAAGTCCCTATAAGTCAACATCTGTTCGTATTAATTTATAATTCGATATTTTCGGAATTTATCAAGATCGAATAAAAATATTAAAACGGAAGACTTGGAAACCAAAAAAACTAAAAATTTAAATCGATTAAATTTTTAAGAGATTTTTTTAATTCAAAATCTGTTCGAACGGCACCAGAGACTTTCTATTAACTGTAATAGATTTTTCGGGTATTTTTTAAAGGTATTAGAGATGGAAAAAATCTTGAAGTGAAAAACTAGGACACCAAGAAACCTGGAATTCAATTTTTTAGAATAATTATTTAGTTATGAATATGAGATTAAGGGACATGGAAATTTGTTCCAAATGGCCAACAGAATTTCCATGAATTCTAGTCAGATTTTTAAAATATGGATCGAAAATATCGAGAAAATTGGACTTAATTTTTTTTGACTTATTAAAGATGTTTTAAATTATAATATAAGAGGGCCTACAAGCAGTTCAGAAAAACGAAATATTATTTAATAATTTTTTTTAATAACGAATGGAGGGAGGCAGACCTCCAGAAAAAAAATGCCCTAAACATTTCAGATAATGTAAAGTTATCAAAAGTAGAAAATTCCACGCGGAACTACGTGTTCGGGGAGCTCGGAGTTGAAAATCCCTGAACTGAGAGTGTTGGAAAATTAAAAAAAAAAAAACAATAAATAAAAAATAAATAAGTGAGCAACTTAAGCTGAACCTTAAGCAAGTTAAAATGAGACTTATTTCGAAGACTTTGAAAAAAGAGGTTCAGGACGACGTAGCCAGTACTCATTTATACCCGTAAGGTTAGGGGGTTTGATTATGATTTATTACCTCAAAAATAATTTATATTTTTTTTTCATTTTAATTCCCCTAATAGTCCTCCTAACTCCCTTTCAAAATACTGACCACTAAGCCATTATTTCAATTTATAAACCTTCATAAACATATTAAACTGACTTAAAAGACAAATTTATTTACTCTTCTCGAATGGAACAAAAACCCCAAACGACCGACGGACCATCCAGTCCAGTCAAAGGGAAAAAACCCAACGCTTTTTTCCATTTCCTTTTGGTGTCAGGCTTATCAGTGTGGTGTGTCCACACTCAAAAGGCGCACTATTTTACAAAAGAACGAAATGTCTCGCGAATAAAAAACCAACCTTAAAATGTGAGAAATGTGAACTCCCGTCAACACTATTTCATTACCAACACAGAAAAAAAAACTCCCCCTTTATTCTTTAGCAATTCTTAATCATATGCAAAGTTAGTTTTTAGTTTAATGGAAAACAATTAAAAAAAACGTGGAAAAGAAAAAACGCCTTCCAAAAGAAAGCCAAGAATTATAGACTAAAGTGTGAAGTGGGCATTTTCAAGTTTGTGTGTTTTTTAAAAAAAAGATCTGCGATAACTGCCTATTCCGCATTGGCAAACGGAAGAAGAGGTTTTTTGTTTCCAATAATAAAATAATTTCAATTTTATTTTAATGGAGGAAAAAACAACGGCCATTGTATTACGGAACCACAAAATGGTAGTCTCATTCACACACACACAGACACAAACAATTGTTTTGCTGTGTGCCCCTTGATGGGGGTGTCTGTTTGTTGTAATCATTTCAATTAGCTAACAGGCCAGTTAAAGCTCAGTAAACTTGTTGGCGTATCAACACACACAAACATACAAACACAGAGAAATGTATGAAACAAAAAATGAATAAAATGAGGAACTTTTTTTAATGGACCCGATGGCCATGGTCATCGCTGATGATAACAACAACAATGTCAGGGTGATATATTTTTTTTTTGTTAAATTATTTTTTTTATATCTAAAATATTTTTTTGTTGTAATAAAATAAAATCGACACTTACCTCCACCTCCGAAACCTTGTCCCGGAAATAGTCCTGGTGGTCCAAATGGTGGCATTTGCCTGGCGCCCGGCCATGGTACCCCAGCACCACCAATACCACCCCAGGCCACTGCAGCCGCAGCCAAGGCACTAAATGGTGTTGGTCTAATGGGTCCATGCCCCGAGGCAGCCAAAACCGCAGGCGACAGTAAATGTGGAGAATTTGCCAATGAATTGGCACTACCAGCATCTGGAGATTTACTTGAATCCAAACCGTCGGGTGTTGAACGTGGTGAATCATCAGCATTCATATCTTCAATATCCACAATGGAATCTTCTTCTTCATCATGTTCCAAATCTTGATCATTCAAATCTTCATCATATTCCAGTTCCGAATCAATGGAACTGCCAATGGGTGAGTTTCGTTCACATTTGGCCGTTACAGAGGAGGCGGAATTTGTTGTTGTGGACATTGATTCGGCAGGATTATTTGAACTGGCGCCGGATGATTGTGGTGGGGTAGTTGTGTTGTTGTTGTTGCTATTTGTATTTTCATTATTTGATGGATTACCGCTGGCCGAGGCTAATAACATTGAACCCGTTGTTCCCGGTGGACAGCCACCACTTGGATTCAGAGGATGTCTTAGGTGGGCGGGTAAATGATGAGGTAAGTGGGGATTGCCATTTGGATTTGTGGATGCTCCCACAGCTGCCGCTGCTGCAGCAGCCATGGCGGCGGCATGTTGTTGCTGGGCTACATGGGCCGCATGCAGTAAATGGGCATGATGGGCCATTGTCACAGGATGGAATTGTGGCGGATGTGTTGCTGCTGGATGATTTGGTGAGGCAGGTGATGACGAGGATTCGTGTGATACAGGTGAGGTGGCAGCCGATGGTGTACTCGACAAATTCGTTGGCATATTGCTCGTATTATCAGCACCATAATGCGAATTATGACTTGGAGACCTTGGCCTGGTATCGGCCAACAGTGAGGCCACACTGAAATTACTTAAACGCGATGTGGTCTTATTTAGGGTATGTTGATGTGATTGCTGCAGATTCCGTAAATGCTGTTGATGGGCCATTATTATGGCGGAGGGTGATGTGGGTGTGGTGGTAATGGCCGTGGCCGGTGGCGATACCACAACAGTGGTAGTGGAACTGTTGGCTGTATTCATGGCGGTTTGCGGTGGTACCGTCGGGCTAGTCATATTCACACGTAAACCAGTGACAGTCATACCTGATGACAGTTTTAGCATATATTTCGCTTTTTTTTGTTTTATTTACTTGTTTTGGTGCGCGTTCTTTCTTCTTGAGGTTTCTTTTTTAATTTGTAAAAATTTATATTTTTCTTACAAAACTATTTTTTTTTTAATTCCAGTAATATTTTTTCTTTTGTTTAATAAACCATTGCACTGTATTTATTTGTTGTTCTTGTTGTTGGTTTTTTTAGTTTAATATTTTTTGCATTTTTGCTGATAATTTTGTTATCATCACTTTATTTTTTTTTCAATTTCCAATAATTGGAAAATTTGTTTTTAATTGCCTTGATTGGTTTCTGATTAATTTTTTAACAAATCAATTTTTTTGTATTGTTACGCTTCGTTCTCGGGTATTTTGTTGTTGTTTCTTTTTTTTAATTGAACAAAACAAATAACACTTGATTAGAAAAAAATTTTTCTTTGATTATTTTTTTCTTGTGTGTTTCTTTAATTTTTTTCTTGTTGTTGTTTTGTTTTTTCTGTTTTATTACTACGTTACAAAACAAGCGCTCGTTGACATCAGACACGTCCTCTTGAGATCACGACTGTTTAACAACTAAACTGTAAAGTGTGCATGTGAAATCTCGGTTCATTCACTTGCCGCACACTCAACGAACCAATTTCCTCACACACAGCACAGCAAACACACACACGTACATACAACACACAGCAAGGCAATGGAAAAGAGTCAAAACTGAGCAGGAATAATAACACAACTCTCAATGCCTAAGGCCTTACTCACGGTTTACGTACGTTTGGGTGCGTGTGTGTGTGCCTAGTGGTGGTTGATTGGTAGCGCACACACAACACAGAAGCAGAGAAGGAGGTGGTTGTTTTTATCAACAACAACAAACCAACTATATGGCGCTATCTCTTTCTCTTAACGTAAGCCTAAGAAGATATTAGCCACAAACACCATTTTTAATAATGCTCTCTTTCTCTATTTGTGTCTATCTCCTTCTCTCTTGTTTAGAGACTACCCTTAACTCCTCAACCGTGGTGAATAACCAAACATGATTTCTCCTGTTTATCATAGCAGTCATATGAGCGGCCCGTTACAGTAACGCCTCTTGCTTTTCATTCACAAACCAAACATGAGTGTGGTGAGTTCTCTTTCATTTAAGCAAATTCCCACAAAGAGGGGTATTCAGGAAAGAGACATACCATAATAATCTGCCTTTATCTCTTTTTCTCCAACACAAAATTAGGCTAAATGGCAAATATCTAATTGAAAACCCAACACTCTATTGGAAAAAGAAGATATCATTCATGGAATGAAAAGAAAGACACAAAAATTAAAACCCAGCAATCACATTAAACAAGCAACACCAAGAACAACAGCAACAACAACCACAATAACGACGACGGCAATTATTTGACAACGTTGAATGTTATTTAAACTCTATTACTCTTAACAGCCATTGTGGTTTTTAATAATTCCTAATAGCAAAAAGGCAGCTGGTTTTTTGTTTTCTTCTTCTTCTGGTTCAGTTTGCTGCGCTTTGTTGAGAATGCATTTCTGTAACAACGACAAAAACAACAAAGACGGCAACAAAACACTAAAAGTGATGTTGAAAAGTCAACTTTACGGAATTTGTTGCCTTTTTTATTTCCAACTGGCGTTGTTTGTATGCATGTCTTTTTTGTTTGCTTCTGTTGTTGCTGTTGTAGTTCATATAATTTTGTCACCTTTTTAGTTATGGTTCCGTGTCGTGTTTGTTGGTATTCGCTGTTGTTTTTTTTTTGTAGTGGATGGCTTTTTGCGTGTAAGCATGTATGTCTTCTTTTAGATGATGATTTTTGTGTTATTATTGTATTGTGGTGGAATTAAATTAAGTTTGTAATATTAAAAGAATTGACAAGAATAACACAAATAAAAAAGAGAGAGGAAATTAAATGAAGTATTACATTTATTTTTAAAAATTTTATTAAATTCGGTTATTTAAAAATTAAAAAAATAAATAAAATAAACATCTAAAGTTATATAAAGATTAAATAAAAATGTTCAGTTAAAATGTTTTGTAAACGGATTATCGCATAGCGCTAATTCAAATTCGAAGAAAATAAGAATTAATTAATATTGTTAATTGAAATAAAAAGGATGTATGTAGGTGTCTGAAATGTAAATAACATTTGCGAAAAAAACTGAATTAAACAAAATATTTATTTTTGTATATTACTTCTTATATTATGTTATCGATGAACTAATAGAGTAAATATGTAGAAATTTAAAACAAAAAGTATTATTATATATTTCCCTCTTCCATGAAATTATAATAAAAAAAATGATTCCTGTGTTTACCTCTAAGGAAAATTGAGGTTTATGTTAGATCATTAAGTGAAATTATTAGTATTACAAAAATTACCCATTTTATGGAAAACAAAATCAAAATGTATTTCAAAATATCATTATAAAATAATTTTTGGAAAGATATTTTGATATGAGCAGAGTTGAGAATTTAAACGAATTAATTTACGATTCATATTTAAAGATAGTGACAAAGAAATTTAATTCCACCAAGATCTAAATCTATATTTTCACAATTTAATTCGAAAAATAGCATTATCCTATCATATTTTTGAGCTGGATTCTTGTTCAATGAAAATTTGAAATTGAAAATATTTTATTTATAAATTTAATCTTTATTAAATTTTCTCCTCAATATTTCACATTTCTATGGAAAAAGAACCAGACAGGGAAATTTATTACTTAAGTAATGTAATGTTGAATTAAAATATATTCAAAAATCTATTTATCTGATGAAAATTTCTGAAGTTGTATTTTTGGTACAAATAGTGATTACAATGTCGGCATGGCACAATTTTGAGAATATTGGACTGGAACAAAAAAATATCCTTATTTAAACTCTGTATTCGTCGACATTTAAAGGAACTATTGATATATTGATATCAATGGATAAATAAATTAAAGCATTAACTTATTACATATTTACACTTTTTTATAAATTGTTATTTGAATTAGGCAAATATCTTCAATATTTATTGATTTTCCATTACTTATTCCTTAGAAATTTCGTAAATATTTTTCGTAAAAAAAAAATTGAAATTTATCGAAGAAAACTAATTATTTGAAATAGTAATATGGTGGGTACGTAGGTTCTTCCCCTGACTTCCCTTTTCATTGCAAAAATGTTATCATTAAGCTCGACTCGACAGGTAAAACACAAGTAAATAACAATTAATTTATGTAATAATAAATTGCTGTTTTACAAAAAAAAAAAAAAAAACAAAAAAAAAAAAAAAAACTGGGATTATGGCTTACAATTTTGAGTACAAATAAACCTTCAACCCAACTGTTATAATTGTATTAAAAATCATAAATATAAATATTTGAGCTTCTGTATTTCTGTAAACTTCAGTTTTTGAAATGAAGACAATATTTTACTAAAATTTTTCTATGATCAACGAATATGGCGAATTTTTATCGAATGAAAATTGATTCAATATTACGCGTTTTGAAATTTGCGTAAACCAAAGAAATACACAAATTTGATATCTATTTAGATATTCCAATAAAGAAAACCCATTTGAATGAAAAACCCAATGAAATGATTTTGTAAAATTTCATTTCAGGATTGGGCATTGTCTGTATTTTAGTGTCCAAAATCTTGAAAAAATTACTTAACCTGGGATTTCAGTGAACACAATTAAAAATACAAATGATCAGAACGATCAATCATGAAGCATAGACTGGTCTACATGTATTAGGTACCTAATTAAATGAAATTTTAATAAACATAAATTAAAACAAAATATTCAGAATGTAGCAAAAAATATGGCCGAGATATAATGGTCATCAACTTCGGTCGATGTGCACATTTTGTCAATAAATAAAATTTATTTTTAAAAGTAACAAGTGAGGAACGCCATAATGGGTGTGAGTGCAATAATGTTCTACAAAAATCTCTGGCGATGCTAAAATGTAAAACCCCTTTCATAGATTTTGCTAGGATATCCGCAAATTAAACACTTAAATGAATATTTGTGCAAACAATATTTATGATACAGACCTCGAGCAGGACTATGTCTTTAATATAATTTCAAAACGAATATTTTTAATAACTTAGAGTAAATAAAAAACCAGTGAGCTGAACAGTATAGTCGAAATCCCACTCCGACGAAAATCTAACTTTCTGTGATATTTGTATCCTTTATCGCGATATTTGTACCCTCTTGACCAACTAGAGGTCAACAAATATTACTAATATTCAGTACAGCTCTTCTAATTACTTGTCCAGATTCCCTTCACCGTGGCTTGTGTTGTGATGTTCGGCTTTCAATTGTGGCCTATAGATCGACTCGAAAAACCACAAAAACATTAATTTTTCGGTCCACTAAATAACAAAATTATATGATCATCACCGAAAATTATAGGCGTTGTCCTTGACCACAACTGGAATCTCATGGAAAATTTCAAAGCGATCAGTGCTATATTTCCGCCCTCTAGTATGGTAATGGGTTACTAAAATATTTAAGTGTAACTCCTACATCCGAGTACATACGACAACATAATTGGTATCAATTTGAAGGTCAACCACTTCTCTGGCATATACTATCAACTTATCGGGTCGATGTCATCCAGGGTTAAATATATACGCTATAGAATACAAAATTTGTGATTTTTCACACAAAATCGGGGCCTATTTGACGCGCTAAATATTGACCGATTTTTATCAAAACAGACGATCTCTTCTTCATGTAAAAATTCGCGATGTTTGGGCCATAATTGCGTCCTCTGTAGCGACCAAAAAATCGGACAATATTAAATATTAACCGATCTTTACCAAAAACAATAGGGCAAAATTTCGTGAAGATTGATCCATAACTGTGGCCTGTATCATGTTTACAAATTATAATGGACAGACGGACAGACGCACGGACACACATGTCTCTTATTCTCTTCACAGCACCTCCGTTGTGGCATTCTGTATTGTAGAGGATGATAAACGCTATTAAATGTCCATATTTGATCAATGTTTTGACATAGCTCTCATATGAAGGTTCCGTCT